TAAGACGTCACTAGTAACTCAAAAATAATAGGCCAAATATAAGGCAAGAAAAGGGTAGGAATTTATACTGTATATATTTATAATGACGAAGCTATCTATCCAGCTGATGATTTAGCTAAAAAATCCCCAAAAAAATTAAAACGCTTGTACAAATTGTGGCTTTTGTTAGGCCTATAATCCCGGTTATGTCACAATTATTGTAGCTTTTGCACCTGCTATATGTTGTGGTAAACGTACGATTTTTATATTTGTAAATAATTTCTTTTGTTAATATTTAAACCATATAGCTTATTTTTATTAATTATTTTTATATTTTTGAACTGTTATGTGTAGGTCAATAAATCTATTGCATTGTTATTAATTATCTGTCATAGGCTATATCATCAAACAGTTTATTGCTCTTAATTCATCTTTATACAAATCTTGTTTTTTTTAACTCCAACTGTTATTGTCACAAAAATAAAAAAAAACTTTGTAGCCAGACTGTTGATTTTTTTATTAAGAAAGTCCCTATTTGATTGGCTGTGTTTTCTGAACTGAAATGTGTATTTCCTAAAGATCAATTTCAGTATTTCATTTCAGTTTCGAGATTTGGAAATACAATTACTTATCTATTATGCAGTAAATTTGGGGGAAGGGGAGGAATTATTTATAAATATCGGAGGGCCATTTTAAACGCAATGAAAAAAGAAAAAATTAATTAAATGAAAACAAGCTGTTGTAATTATTCGTATGCTTTGCAACGGACAGGACGTTGAAGAAAGAGTCCAAGTATCTATTTCAAATAATAATCCAAACATAATATGTTAACAATTGTTAACACATCAACTTCATTAAATTCTAAGAAGCTACTATCTCCAAACAGGCTAGTAGTAAAAATCCAAAGTTTGACGATTCAAATGGTTTCTGCTTTTTGAATTTTGTCTGGATTTTATTAGTCCAAGTTGCACTAACTATCCAAATAATAAAACTTTATACCCGGTATTTTGTATACCTTTATTTTTTATTGTAGTTATTATTTATTTTTTTCTTTCAACCAAATTATTACCAATTAACTGTCATGTCATGTTTTATAAATATCTGTTTTTTTTCAATTTAGAATATTTATTTACTGATAGAGGAAACTTCTCACGCACGGGCCTATGTGAGAGGGATTTCATAATTAACGACTAGGCCTATGTCAGTATGTTATTACATAACTAAGGCATAATTATTAAATTTGTACTGACAAAGTATTGTAACATAGTATTTTACCTACTGAAATAAACATTATTTTGATTATATTTGACAAACTACCTCCATGTAAAGTTTTATTTAGATCTTTTGAGTGGTTCCCGTGCGATTAAGTAGTATACAAACACACATCCACCATCTCATATTTACATATTTAGATAATAAATTTAAAAATAAAGAAAATATAAGTTAATTGGTTATATTGGCTCTTATAAAATGATAAAAATTCAAGATAAATTGATTGATTAAGTTACCACACATAACTTGAGTCTATGCTAGCAGCTGGGAACTAGAGATTCTAAAACACCTCTTTAGGCGAATATTGGGCTCTTCCAGGTGGTACATATTACTATAACAAGAATAGGATTTGTTTATAAGCCATTAACACCGATTTGAACAAAACATTGTAAAATCCTTTATCAAACAATGGGTCGCTAGTGGCACTCACGCTACTACCAGGGTCGCTTCTGGCACGATTTTGGCTGGGTCGCTTCTGGCACGGTCGCTTCCGGCACGTAATCAATGGTCCTGATGTAACTTATCAAGTCATTAGCTGAGTACCCGTCCTTCGCACCATCCTTCGTACAATGTATACAATGTTTATTGTAGTTAACACATTTTTGGGTTTAACATGCTTACATCTTTTTAGCGTATTCATGTTATACTACTGATGTTCATATTTGTTCAGAATATGATCGTGTTACTGAGTAGGTTTTTTATGGTAGTTTATTGGTTATAGTGTTCACCTGGTAAACAAAATATCTTAGATTCGGTGCTGAAAAATGAAGGTTGGCTAGTTTTTCATAGTGAACTCTAAAAACTATGAACCCCAATGTCCTTGGTGAATGGGCTTTTAATAAATATACCTGACTAAAAAAACCTCTGATCGTAGTTAGTATCTTAGTATCTAAGCTAAGTAAGACATTTAAGTGGTCGCAAACTTATCTTTCATTCTGTCTGCGTTAAAACATTCCTTAACGCATATATATATATATTTTAGCGAATTTCCCCTATAGGGAATAAGCTATTGCCGTAGTACTCATAGTAAGATCTGGACCCGGAACCGATTTACTTTTTCGTTTTGAGGTCCCTAGAGGCCAAAAACACCATCCGTTCAAATTCATATATATATATATATATATATATATATATATATATATATATATTTATATATGTGTCCGTTAGCGTGATAACTCGAGCAAAAATCATCAGATTTTGATGAAATTTGGTACAAACGTGTACACCTACGTTTATTCGAACGAGTTCGCGAACCAGCATGATCGGACCATGGGTACGGGGGTTTATGGGGGGTTTTATGGGGTAAAAATAGGTTTTTCCCATTTTTGACACTAAAAACTTAAAATTTAGCAATTTCTTTCCAAACCATTTTGTAGAGCTTAAAAAAACAAATAATTTAGTATATTGAATCGTTATTATGCGTCTAATGGTTCCGGAGAAAATTCCAAAAATCTGTAAATTTAAAATTATGTTTTAAAGTTATGTATTTATGAACATATTTTGATAAAATTTGGAAAATGCATTCATTTCATACCAAACTATTATAATTTTACAAAAAAAAAAAAAAAAAAAAACACCTGTTTACCCTCCCTGTTGCAGCAAACCTAAGTACTCGTTAAATTAATTATATTTAAATAGGGAATAAATGTGATATTTTTAAGGAGACATTTTAATGTAAAGAAAATTCTGTCAGGCTAATGGAAATTCGCTTACTCTGCAGGTTTTCTGCGGCGGGGGTATTTTTTATTTAATGTAGATAATTTTTTAAATTTATTATATTTCAATAAACGCAACGTATTCGAGGTATTTGCGAACAAGTTTAAAAAGTCTCATTTTCACCCCCTCCCCCCCAAACTCGACACTCAAGTGTATTTTTTTTACAAATTGAGGGAAATGATTCAACAATTTGGCACTGGTTTTAAACTTTTTTATGCCCCGGTTTAGATCTAATTGCATTGTACTATATACCAATTACCAATAACTGCGTATACAAGTAGATGTAGTGATCTCCTTAAAATAAGTATAATAATAATATACCTCGTTTGCAGTCTGAGTTAGTTTCTAACCATAGGTATATATCGATGTTTCTAACATGAAGTTGACTTTGGATTGAATCAGGGCCATAGGTTTCTTTGCAGAATAAATGTCTTTATTCTGAGGTTGTATGTAGTGTCTACAGTTTTCTTACAAAATTAATTATAGTTGGCCCTAATGTTCTTATTCGGAACTAAAATACACGGCGACCCATGTGCAATAATAATCGATAGGCTTTTATTTTTCGCAGATTTACATCCAAAACATAAAGACTGACTAGTGATTTATCAACCTCAATCATTTTGCAATTTTTAAAAAGTAACTTTTTCAAAATCCATTTACATAAATCTTTTTCTCTTGTTTACACAATCCGACTGTGGTTAAAAATTCAACTGAAGAATCAGCTGTGAGATTTCAATTCATCTTCAAGCCGTTATGAAGAATGTGAACTCAGAAATAGTGGAAACGCTAAAGGGCCCTTTAAGAGTCTTCATCATGCATGGTAACCATTTTGGATTTTAGAGCAATATTAACTTTGTAACAGAATTTCTGAAAAATCTGTTGTGATAAAATAATGATTAAGGTGTTAAAATTAAGGTTTAGTGGTCGCCTAGGGAGTGAGGATTTTTTTTTTTACATTTTCCCTCCACTTAGTTAATGATCATTAATTAGGCCTTAAATTAAATACTTTATTAAGAAAAGAGAAAAACACGTATTTGAAATATAAGTTCCTTATTCCCTATTGCTCTGTGCTATAAACATAGTTATAAATTTACAAAACTATATCTTTATAAATAACACCGGCATGCTGCTTCAAAATAATGGCATCTTCTGTCAAATTTAACATTGCACTTATGGGACTAAATTCCAATATGGCTACTACTGGGTCTGACTTAGGGGAGGTACGAATGAGGCATTTAGTTCAAAATTCCTCCGTGAACAGCGCTGTAGTAGAGAGTACTTTGGCAAAGAAGGTTTACTAATCGCAAAAATAGTTCTGTTCATAAAATAAAATTATAAATGTCTCAAATTCAATTTTATATTTTTTAATTATAAAATTAAACTATCATAACCTAACCGAACTAACCAAACTTGCTGATAAAGAAATACTATAACAAAAGTTTAGTAATCGGAAAAATAATTCTGTTTATTAAATAAAACTAGAATTTGCTCAATTAAAATTTTGTAATGACTTAATAATAAAATTAAACTGTAATAACCGAACCAAACCAACCAAACTTGCTGATAATAAAAAAATCTTGGACAAAAAGTTAATGCTACCAGAAGGATTCGAACCCGGGACCTTCAGAATATCAGCCCGGCACGCTAACCATTAGACCACCGAGGCCGATGGCTACCGACCGTTTTGTTATGGTAATGGCGTTCCCTCAGCTAATAAGAAGCCCACAGCTGTCATCGTAGCCTCTTCTATACCTCCCCTGAGTAAATACCGGCTACTACTGATGTAGACTCTTAACCTCTCCTAACCTAACCTAAGGAAAGCGCTTTTTCGTTACCTACCATTGAAAGGTGCGCTGAATCATGAACGATAAAATAAAACCTCATTCGTGAAGTAGGAATTCCTCATCGTTTGAGTAGGACAGCTGAAAAGGGAATGTAACAGAAACCCCTTATTGTATTAAGTGTGTTACGAATAAACTAAGAAAAATTTGGTAATAACTCAGTGAGATTAGGTAAAAACAATATTTTACTTTCTACCAGAAATTCAATACAATAAGTTTGCTGCTTTTCTTACGTCTCAAAAGAACTTTAGAACAGACACTATTTGACTTCATGGTAATACAACATTCTGTCTTTGGATATTCCCAAACTTTTCTGCATTCTGTTTCGCAAATCTCCCATACCTCTTGAAAGCATGCATAGCATGCATCCTTCCATCCATACAGCAAAATAAATCTTCCAGCCAACACTTCAGTATGAAAAAGGCGAAAATCGGCCCTCATTAGGTTACAGGTTACTAAATTGACAGGATTTACAAGGTATATTTGATGCTCGGTAGATATCAATAGGTTACTGCCTAGGGGATGAACATTGGTTGTAGGACATGTTTCTATACCAGTCATGGTTTTACTCTGGTTCATTGCATCATGATGATATACTATCTTGAGGGGTTCGCTATGGGTTTTAATGACACTCAAATGGCCATCAAAATACGACACCCATCCATTGTGAACAAACCTACTAGGCAGGATAAACTGTAACCGTGAAATATCATAAATAATTGAGCTACATACTCCAACATCATTTCCTATGTTAGTGACATGTTTTAAATGGTAGGTTACGAGGACCTTATCAGTGACTTGCTGAGTAGATTTTAAAGTTGTAAATTCTATTGGTCCGATTTCGTATCTGTCTTCTTTAACCTTTTTCCCCGTCTTGACGTCCCAAATGTGCAAGAGAGCAGATTCCCCATGTGCATAGGTTCCAATCATGTATTGCCCACTAAAAACAAACCGATAAAGATACTGAACATCTGGAAAGTCACTAATTGATGAGACCACGATACTTTCAATATCGCTATCAGCTGTTAAACTATGAGAGAATTCCTCCGGTTTATCAAAAAAGAAGAGATGATTCAGAACACAGTTTTTAGAATCCAAGCTGATTTTGTAAACTTGTACTAAATTACATTGGATGACAACTATCAGATTGCTATTGACTATTTGATAAGTGTCAGCTTCAAAACGTTCACTCAAACAGTGTGGTATAGTCAATACTAGGACTAGAGTCTCAGCTACATTCCAAACTCGAGTCTCATATGTTAGTCCTTTATTATAGACATGGTGGTTTTCAAATATATGGTCATCGTCCAAAAATGATAGTTGAAAATCATACTCAACAATTCTCTTATCACGGGTTAAACTTCCAATTACTTCCTTCCTGAAGCGCCCACATCTCCAATTGTTCAATAAGTGCTGTTCTTGTAAGAATGAGAGGCGGTTTTTTTCAATGGGCAAAACCGTGTTGTTTGTTGTTAGTTTGAAAGCAGGGTCCACAAGGCATTTATTTTTTGAAAAATAGGAATTTGAACTAGCTATACAATGTCTTTTCCAAAATAAATCATCACTAAAAATACTGTACCAGGTTTTACTAACGCCTATGCAATTGGATAAATCTTTTGCCGAGAGAAAAGAAACAAGTGCCTCTAAAACTTCTAGAGGAAAATGCTCAATGTCCAGTGCTTTCCCCATGGCATGGAATGATATGGCTTCTGGAAGGGGCGATTGTTCACTGACAATTTTCGTAAAAGGCAGGCTGGGATTGGCAAGCAACCCCTCATTATCTTCCTTTCCTTTGCCCATATAATATCCACTGGATGATTTCAGCAACACAGGTTTTTCAAATACACTAAACTGGTTTTGCAAATGAGCCATCTCATTGAGTAGTTCAGTGAGCTTTAGCTGAACGTCTTCTATCTCTCTGAGGACGTTGCGGCCCTTTGATATCAGCTTGCACACATTGTAAGCCACCTGGTTAGGAACCTTACGTTCCATCAACTCAAACTGCAAGTAGAGTCTTCCCTCTAAGTGAGAAGTGACCCATGAGTCAGAACCACCATAATTCTCATCCCAAGGCATCCATAAGTGGTTGTAAAAAAATCTCAGACTATCAATAGCCTTGGCTGTGTTGAAAAGTTTTACAAACACTTTATTGTTATTCTGTCCAATTGTCGGATATAATTCTATCAAAGGAATATCACTCACCTTTAAAGGAACGCAATCAACTCCATCTTCAACTTCATTGATTTGGACAGTACAGGTCAATTCTTTAAAGTTAATAAGATCAATAGTCACAAGTAAACTACGTGGATAGTTTTGGGACATCTTCCAAATCGCTCTCCAACCTGCTGGTTCAATATGAGATTCCAAAAAAATGCTCCATTCCCTTTTCACATCTTCTGCTTTCAAATTACTAGTTAAAATACAGTTATATTCATCCAACCTTTCCTGGAAACTCTTTGAAAATACAAACAAATCCTGAGCCATGTTGTTGTAACCATCAATTAAGTATTCCTTCAACACCAAACTATTCACTCTTATTTATATTCTCTTATGGAAATTAATAAACATGTGTTTGAATTATTACTAAGCATTCTAATACAAATATTAACATTTGCAAAAAACAGCTGGAAATTTATAACCAGTAATTTGTTTAAACCCACTCAGCATATATATGCAGGATATTGTCATATATACAGCGGTGGGGCACACGGAAGATTTCTCAGATGCCGTTTGACGTCTGCGTCTGAAGAAATAGACAATTTTATAATTTTTCTATTATTAAATTAAACCGTCATAACCTAACCAAACTAACTAAACGTGCTGATAATGAAAAAATCGAATGAAGGTTTACTAATCTAAAAAATAGTTTTGTTCATAAAATAAAATTATAAATGCCTAAAATTCAATTTTAAAATTTTTTAATTATAAAATTAAACTGTCGTATTCTAACCAAACCAACCAAACTTGCTGATATGATAAAAATTGTTGACAAGAAGATTGTGCTAATAGTGGGATTCGAACCCGATTCATTCGGATTGTTAGTCCGACACGCTATCCACTACACCACCGAGGCAGACGGCTCAAATCCGTATCGTTGCGGTAATGGTGTTCCCTCAACCATTTAGCAGCAGTTGGTGACGTCAAACGGCACCTGAGAAATCTTCCGTGTTTCGTTTTGATATATACAGCATATATACAGGATAAATAATAACAGAGAAATGTCTTCTTTTCCAAATGCATGACCACTTTTCTCCATTTAAACAATTTTAATACTCCTTTTACGTTGTTTAGCATTGTTTAAATGGAGAAAAGTGGTCATGCATTTGGAAAAGAAGACACTTACAACACAGAGCACACAGTAACAGAGGTTACACTATTATTTATCCATTCTTAACAATTAAGGTACCATTGAAAACTACATAAAATTTACTAACTCTTTTGACTCTTGTAATTTGTTTGTTAAGTTAACGGTTTTCGTGAAATTTGGCATCAAATATTTTAAATGGCTGCCATTTTAAAACGGTTAATGATTTTTTAGTATAATTTTAAACAAATATAAACCTTAATAAGATTAACATTTCTGCAAAATCCCAACGCTGTATCTCAAACCGTTTAGGAGTTATTAATGTTTTTGTAAAATAACCCCGCCGCAGCAAACCTGCAGACTAAGCGAATTTCCATTAGCCTGATTGGAATTACACTAAAATGCCTCCTTAAAAATATCACATTTTTTCTCTTTTTAAATAGAATTAGTTTAACAAATACTTAAGTATGCTGCAACAGGGAGGGTAAAAAATGGTTTTTTTTTTGTAAAATGTTAATAGTTTAGTAAGAAATCAATGTATTTTCCAAATTTGATCAAACAAAATATGTTCATAAACAAGCAAACTACAACAGTTGACTTATTCTCCATAAGAATAACAAGGGAAATTTATATTTACAATTTTATGGAATTTTCTCCAGGCCTATATAAATATAGGAAACTAAATTATTTGCTTTTTAAGCTCTACAAAAAGGTTTTGGAAAGAAATTTTGTATTTTTAGGGTCAAAAATGGGAAAAACCTATTTATACCCCATATAACCCCCCATAAACCCCCTGTTCCCATGGCCCAATTATGCTGGTTCTTGAACTTGTTTGAATAAACGTAGGTCAAGTTATCCAACGGACACATATACAGAAAACAAAAGGTTTTATCTCTTGAGAGCTATTGCAGGGCAAAAATTCAAGAGTTATTTTCAGAGTTTGGTTGACATATTTAGTTTTGGCTGTATGCACTCTATTAACCGACCGATTTTAATAAATTATACTCTAAAAGCTACACAATTAGAACTGCTCGAGAGTCAGTCCAGACTATCCAGCACTCTGGATTTTATGCCTGTACCATGTGAGAAGGTCATGCCTGTTGTACAGACACTAAAGAGCTCCAAACGTAAGGAAATTTTTGATATTTCTGCCAGTTTTGTTAAAGATACTATTAGTTCTACCGTTCTTCCTTTAACTTATTGTATAAACTGTTGTATTCTGGATGGTATTTTTCCTAAGATTTTAAAAACTGCTAGAGTAGTTCCTATCCATAAGAAAGGAAACCACAATGTTCCTGAAAATTTCAGGCCCATGTCCATTTTACCTGTTTTCTCCAAGGTGTTTGAAGGAATTATTAAAGAACAACTCTCTTCTTATCTAGAATCGAATAACCTGATGGCAGATGCCCAGTTCGGTTGCAGGTGGGGCCGCGGCACAATAGATGCATTGATGCAGTGTACTCTTTGACTAAGCCTATCTTTGAGTCGTTTGAAAGTGGTGATTTTGGTGGGGCCACCCTGTGTGACCTCAGCAAGGCCTTTGACACTATTGACCATGAAATTTTATTAAAAAAGTTAAATTTCTATGGTTTGAATGATAAAAGCCTTGATTTACTGAGGTCCTACTGTATCTGGCCGAGCGCGGGCAGCTGGTGTCCCTAAATGGTATAACCTCAAGTATCAGCAACCTAATCCATGGCGTTCCGCAGGGCTCTGTACTCGGGCCCCTGCTCTTCAATATAATGATTAATGACCTTCCCATGTGCCTTGGTATGGTGTTGTTTGTTATGCAGACGACACTACAATTGTGAAAGCTAGAAATAGTGCTGTTGAGTTGAACTTGGCTTTAAATCAATCTTTAAATGTTGCATCTACTTGGTTCCGGGCAAACTATTTCATTTTAAATCAAGAAAAACCCCAATCTATTGTTTTCAGTCTCCGAAACATTGAGCATGAGGCAACAAGCGTAAAGCTTTTAGGTATTTACCTAGACTGTAAGCTGGATTGGAATAGCCATATTTATTATGTTTGTAGCCGACTGGCTAGGGTTGTGCACTTGCTTCTTAAGTTAAGGTACTGTGTACCAAAAGAGTGGTTAATTAAAGGACTGCGTATGTGGCTTTTTTCCAGAGCATCATCACATCATCACCGTACCTGATGATAACATATTATTAACAGCATCAAGTTTATTACTTGTTCAATACAATTATTGAAACAGTTACTTTGGAGCCTGGAGTCATGAACGTTGGCTGGGGCTTTATTATTGTATTATTTTATATTTTAGTTTTGCCCTAATATTGATTGTATTTTGTAAAATACAATATACTTGCTACTCTACTGACTGTGTTTGTTAGCCCATATCTTATTTAACCTCACAATTAACCCAATACTAAAGACATTTTTTGTAAGTTAAGATTGAAATTCATACAAAGATAAAATAAAAAAAATGCAATAGGCTATTTTAGCCTGTGATAAAAGTACGTCAATCTGAGTTAATTATAACCAACGATTAAACTAAACCAATAAATTAATAAGGTACTTTAATACTTTACTTTGAAATGGCGACCATACTAATGTAGGTATTTTAAGCCAATAATTAATTGAGATGAGTCTGAGTGGCCCAACCTTTTAGTTTTGAAAGGGACTATGGCCGACATATTCCTTAGACACAGCTGTTAATTAATAGCCAATACAGCCAAAGGCAACTAAGGGGCCTGCAGTTTATAGGGGAATTCTAACCAAATTATTTCCTTGTAATTAACGAATTAGTCTAATTAATTATCAGGATAATAAAAATGGATAACATGTGTGATAAATTAAATGTAAAACCAAAACCTCCTTGTTATAAAAATTCTGATACGAATGGAAAATAAGTTTTTTTTATTTGATTTAAAAATTATTTACAAACACTGATATTGATATAATGATGTAACATTTTCATCAAACCACGACTGAAATACTTAACACACCCTTTTATGGAACATAACCAATAATTTATTTACGACTCTTTTTATGATTAATCTGTTTGATCATTGTATCGGTGGTCCAAAAATAACTCATGAGAGAGGGGCCCAAAAATAAGTTTGCAGGGGGCCGTAAAAATTTGTTACCCCACTGCACCTTCCGATTGATTGTACAAATTATTAACGTGTAACACATGTGTTATGGCTTAAACGTTTGCATAAATGTAAATGTAAATGTTAATATAACTTTTGTAACGATAATTTATTTAGTGATTTCACTTATATATTCACCATCACATAAAGCCCTCTTATGCAGTTATTAGTAGCCAAAATGGTAGAATCCGAAACTGTAAAGGGTTGATTTCAATGTTACAACTGACAGGGTGAGTCACGTGACAGGGTTTTTTATTCCACGATTCTGAATCAACCATTTGACGGATTTTCACGATTCTTGTGTTGAAAGAAAGATAATTTTGAAAACTAGGGAATGTCGAAGCCATAATTTTAGTTTAGGGTTCCAGTTTTTTAGAAATTAAGTTTTAAATTCAAAAAGTCTAGCAGCCAACGCTAAACATTCTAGATTAGCTTTTTGTTTACAACCATTTTCAATGTAACAGCTGTAAACATTCAGAGTTTGTGACACAAAATCAGCATTTGGATAGAAACGAAATGACATACGTAGGGTTGACTTATTTATACTATGTGTAATGTTTTAATCATTGGTGCTTTCATTTATTCGGCAGGAGGATGGCCGATTATTTAAATATACATAGTAATACCATAGATAAAACATACTGTAATACTAGATGTTCTAATTTATTTTTTAGAGTTGTCTTTAAAATCTTTGGGGTTTGTTTTAGAGTAATATAATTTGTTTGAACTAACAGCTGGATGTATATAAAAATATTCTATATAACTATGAGGTTATTTTATTTAGTCTATGATTTTGCCATTGATGATCGGAATTAAGTAAGATTAATAGAGATGATTAGACCACAGAGATAAGTAATACCATTGATGTATACAAATCAAGGCTCTACCATAATAGACGAAAGAGGTCTATTGTCTGTGGCTCTACCCACGAGCCTTCAAAGAAAAGCTTATGCAAATAATTTTAAGCTCTATTTTATTTAGGAAAGAGTAGGAAAATGACAATGTTTACATGTTTTAATTCATCTTGGTAGCTTTTTGTTTACAATAAATTAATTTTTGGATGCTTAA